CACTCATACTAATAAGCTTTAATAAATACAGCAAGTGTACGTCTGTGATAACTAGCGTTTTTGGTAACTAATGGGAGCAGATCCTCATGAAGTTATTGAGATATAAATCCATTAACCCCCCCCCAAAGTAATTTAATTTGGAGTAATAAAGACATTTTTCTTACTTCGATCATGCTGCATAATTGCTAACAGTTTTGAATATTATGTAAGATCTGTAGTTTTCCTCAGTGTCACTTCTCCCGGATGTTACTCAAACTATCGTAATATAAGACCCCTCTAAATTTGAGTATGTTTATAGAAGACTGTGTTACTATTTGAAGTCTTGCTGTTTTTTTTTTTTCTGCCTTTTGTTGATCTGCTACTTGCTGTTTAAAAGTAAGGAGACAAATTTATTTTAGATAGTGAAGGGTTTTTGTACATATTTTTTGTGGAAAAGATCCTTTTGAGCTGTAAATCTTGGAGTTGGGGATGTAGTTTGGTGTAGAGTGCTTGCCTAGCATGTAGGAGGCCCTGGGTTCATCCCCAGTACCGCACACATGAAAAACTCTGGGTTTCGCTCTGAGAAATGCTTCTGCAGAGTTTAATGCTTCTCAAGTTTTCGTTACTATTCAATATGAAAATACATTTTAATTTTCGTTCTGATGTCTTTTTGGACTGTGGGTTATTGAATAATTTACATAACTTGGTATTTTCCAGATACCATATTGGTGTTGATTTCTAATTGCACTGTGGATAGAGAATATATAAGATCTCAATCTTTTGAAAATTATGCATATACTTTGGAAGAGTGTTTCTTAGGCAGCTGTAATGAGCATATATACTCTGCAGTTGTAGGGTTTAGTGGTTTCTAAATGTCAGATCAAGTTGGTTTATAGTGTTGTTCAGGTTTTCTATATCCCTATTTTTTGTTTTGTATACTTATTCTATCAATTATTTAGAGAAGAGTGTTAAAATTTCCAATTATAAAAATTTGTCCTTTAAAATTATACAAGGTACAGCCAGGAATATAGCTCAGTGGCATAAGTGCCTGCCTGGCAAACGTGAAGTCATGAGCTCGATTCCGGTACCAAAAAGAAAAAAAAAATTATACAAGGTACATACATATTTTGGGTTATGTGATGTAGATCATTTGCCACATTTTTTCTAATGAATGTCCTTTTTTCTCTGTATATGGACATTACTTTGGCAGTACTAGTATAGCCATACTAATTATGATTAATTAATTGACTTATTTCTCATAATAAAATGACCCTCTTTATTTTTCTGTTTTCAAAGAGAAAGTATCTGCTTGGTCAGATACTAAAATTGCCGCATTACTGTTTGCATAGAGTATATTTTTTCCATCCTTTAATTTTCAAACTGTGCCTTTATATTTCAGATGTCTTTTGTAGGCAGCATATAGTTAGTTGAATTTACATTTTAAAATCCGACAAGTTTGCCTCTTAACTGGAGCACTTAGTCTCCTTACACTTAATATAGTTCTTAATATGGGTGGGTTTTAGAATGCTGTATTGTCTCGTTCACCATCTGACATTTCCGGTTATTGGTTCTCTGTTACTCCTTTCCTATCACATTTTGGGTTATTTGGGTTTTTTTGAGGAGTGAGAAGGGTATTTATTGACTTTTACTCTATACTTCTTTGGGTAAGATTTTTATTTTTATTTTTTATTTTTTAATTTTTTTTGCCTTTTTGAGGCAGGGTTTCACTTTGCAATTCAGGCTCACCTTGAACTCACTTTGTAGCCCAGGCAGGCCTTGAACTCACAGCGATCCTCCTGCCTCTGCCTCCCCAGTGCTGGGATTACAGGCATGTGCCACCACGCCCGGCCTTTGGATAACATTTTTAGAATATCCTTGATATGTTAAAGTTTAACCTCTCAGTCTACTTTAATATTGCGCTTTACAAATTATATTTACTTCTCACCTCTCACTTAATGCTTAAACTGCCCATTTCCCACCTGATATGACCCAGCCACTGGCTTCCCATTTTCTGTTTCTCACATGGCAGTTCACAAATGTAATAACATAAGACATTAACTTCATTTGCTTCCCCCTTTGCTATTTAATATTTTTATGTTATTTGTGCATGTACATATACAGGACTTCTGCACTGAGCTACATCCCCAACCTTTTATTGTTTATTTTGAGACAAAGTCTTGTTGAGTTGCCCAGAATTAACTTGAACTTGCAGTTCTCCTGCCTCAGCCTCCCAGAATGCTGGGATTATAGACCAGCGCTGCCACACTTTGCTATATTATAATATATTGTCATTTTTTTTTTGCTTTTAACTGCCTTTTAAAATTTTCATTCATCAGTTTTGATATTGTGAATTTTTATTCTAGACCGAGTTTTTCATCAAATGGAAGAATGTCCTGTAGCATTTCTCATAGAACATATCCACTGGTGACAAATTAGCTTGGTTTATCTGAAAATTGTAGTGTGGGAATCAAATCCAGGGCCTCATGTATTCTAGATAAGTTTTCTGCCATTGAGTTCATACCACCAGCTCCTGACAACTATGTAACTCTAAATTTTAAAGAATGTTTCTGCTGGATATAGAATTCTGGGTTCTAGCTCTTTCTCTAGAATTTGCATTTGTTTTTTCTTATAGTATTCATTTCTCTGGAGGGTCCCTGTATCTCATTAAAATTTTTCTTAAACTCTGGGCCATCTTAGTGTTATTTTCTCTTGATTGTTGTATTTAACTTTGGATCACATTTTCCTGTTTCTTTATGTATCTCGTGATTTATGCATCTAGTGATTATCTGGATTATAGAATGACACATTGTAGATGTAAAGATTCAGTTATTATTATTATTATTTTTTTTGTGTGTAGTCCAGGCTGGCCCTGAACCTGAGATCCTCCTACCTCAGCCTTCTGAGTGCTGGGATTATAGGTGTACGCTGCCATGCATGGCTCAATTATCCTCTTTTGAAGAGTGTTGATGATTTATTTTAGAAGATAGTTTGTTTGTTTAGTTTTTGAGACAAGGTCCTGTGTAGTTCAGATTGGCCTTGGACTCACTCTGTAGCCCAGCTTCATGGTGATCTTCCTGCCTCAGCCTCCTAAGTGCAACCATGCCCAGCCTGTACAGTTCTTTTACTGACTGATGACTTTCAAGTTGTATGGGCTAGATGTATACTTTGACAGAGCAGACGCTGTTTCCTGTGTTCTTCTAATTGATTAGATTAGCTCACTAGACAGCGTCTCACCTGTGGATCTTGTTGAGGCTCAGTTTTAGGTCTCCTTAGGGCAGGTGAGAGTGGACTTCTTATTCCGGTGTGTGGTCTTTACTCCTTGCATGTAGCATTTTTCATAACTAGGATGGCTTGGGTGTTAAGGAAATCTCTTCAGTCTGAGTTGTAAAAACTCCAAATGTCTCACTGGTTGACCTTTTTAAAAAATCTCTGCTTTGTGCTTAGCCCTCTTTGTCAAGTCTTGTTTGCTCTGTGTTTAATCTTGCAGTTTTATCTGCTGATGCGGAGTCCAGCTGGTGTCTGTGGGCTCACGGGGCGCCCCTTACAGAACTCTGTCTTCCCTCTGACCACCTCCCTGCCCTGTCCGTCACATCCCAGCCACTTCGGCAGCTCCAGAGTTTTAATTTCTCTCTCCTCAAGTTAGTGAGACCATTATGATCCGCTTGAACTTCAGATTCCTGCACTGTGGATAGGAAATTGTCATGCAGACAGGCAGGATGATCCGGAGGCTGGCTCATGAATCCGTCTTCTCTTGAGGTCTGCATACAGTGCCTGGATATAGTTGCCTTACATGTTTTTTCCAGTTGTATAGTTGCTTTCAGCAGGTAGGCTGGTCTGTATTGCTAGTTACTCTGCTACTATCGGGAACAGTTTTCCACACACATATTTGAGCACTTAATGTATGTCATTCTTGTGTAACTGGGTGCTGCATAAATATGAGAATGCATATTTGAGTGGAAAAAATAAATTTAATGAGGCCTACAAGAGAAACCTATGCTATTGGAGTAATCCTTTTACCTCACTCTTTTTTTTAATCTCTTGAAAAAATTTACCTGTTTCAACATCCTCTGTTTAGTTTTTAAATACCTTTATGATGTAGGATGGATTATTTGGGTAAAAGAGTAGAAATGAGGAAAATGCTCCTTACACTTAAAGAGAAATATATTCAATAGTAAAGCTAAAGTGTTAGCCAAGTATAATGATGCATGCCTGTATTCCAGCACTCTGGGAGGCTGAGGCAGGAAGATGGTAAGTTGAAACCCAGCCCACAGCTTAGTGAGACCCTGTGTCTTAAGAAAACAAAACAAAACAAAAAAAAAGAGCTTGCTGATATAGCTCAGTTCAAAGACCCTACGTTTAACCAGCAGTATTAAAGACACACACACAAGAGTAAAGGTGTGATATTGTTACTCAGCTTTGCATTGCTATGACAAAGTACTTGAGATAAACGTAAGGAGGAAAGGTTTGTTTTGGCTCATGGTCTCCTGAGTTTCAGTCCATGGTTGCTTGTTTCTTGGTCCTGTTGTTTTGGTCCTGTAGCGGCACAGTGCATTATGGGAAGGACATGTGGCAGAGGAGACCTGATTAACTATTACAGAAGCTACTGATCCTTTCAATGTCAGCCTGTATTCCTAGAGTATTAATTTCTTTGTCTTGCTATATTTTTAAATTAAGAACATAAAGAATTTTGCATAACATATAAAGAATTTTGCTGAAGAACTATTTATCTAGAAGCCCACAGTGGAAATGCTTTCATGTGGTACATTTCATTCTTCTACATGGGCTGGACATTTGAAGACCAAGGGAAAACATGATAAGTGGAGAGGGTGATAGTGGCTGTTTAGACACAGTATCAGTAGTTGGCTTTGCAGCTTCAGGTTCATAATCTTTCAAAATAGAATGAAGACCCATAGTTGACTGCAGGGTTATTTAGGTAGGGGATGTGCATTGTTCTATCTGAAAATGTATCCTTGTCCTCTGATAGCACCTAATCTCTTTCTGTCCTTTTGATCCTTGTGAAGACTTGGTTGTTTCCACCCTAGAAGCACCTATAAGGATCTGCGAAGCCAGATGATGCCCATTGACCTGGGGCAGGCCCTAAGCTTGCTGCCTTCGCTGGCAAAGAATGAGGATTCCGCCTTCTCTGGACCAGATGCTCCCCCTCAAGAGGAGCTTTCCAGCCCCGAGACTGCACGCCAGCTTTTCAGGCAGTTTCGTTATCAGGTGATGTCTGGGCCCCACGAGACCCTGAGACAACTCCGAAAGCTCTGTTTTCAATGGCTGCGGCCAGAGGTTCATACCAAGGAGCAGATCCTAGAGATCCTCATGTTGGAACAGTTTCTGACCATCCTTCCTGGGGAGATCCAGATGTGGGTGCGGAAACAGCATCCAGAAAGTGGAGAAGAAGCAGTGACGCTGGTGGAGAGCTTAAAGGGAGATCCTCGGAGACTGTGGGAGTGGGTAAGCAGAAGGGATTGCTGTCTGTGAGTAAAGTACAGGGCACTTCTGGGGCTCATCAAATGTGGTGTCTTTTTTTTCTGGAACTACCCATGACACCAAGAGTCAACTTTGATTCCCTGATACCAGCGAAGTGTCCAGCAATTCAGTTCAATTCTGATCCTATCTGGAGGCAGCACAGACTGCCCAGGTGTGGGCACAGCCCTGTAGCACCACTTCCCCCCTTTAGATGCCAGCTACAAGGTCTGTGGACCGTCTATCTGAGAAATAGCCTATCAAGTGAGGGTTTTCCCATAGTTCCCACTTCAGATTTGATAATTAGGATAAGTTGCAGGACTCAGGGAAGCACTTTATTTACTGTTACCACTTTGTCATAAGAGATGCACCTCCCTACCAAACAGTGAAGAGATACAAGAGCTCTTCTGTGTTCTGTCTGAGGTGCTACCTTCTTAGTACCTCAGTTAAGGTTCACCAGCCTGGAGTCTCCCTGAGGCTTTTTATGGGGGATTCGCTATTTTGGTACAATTGATTCAGTCATTTGTCATTGTTGATAGAAAATCTTCAGCTCCTCTTTCTGCAGAAGTTAGGGGTGAGGGCTGAAAACTCAAACTTTCAATTGCATTGTTGGGTCCTCTGGCAACCAACAATGGATGCAGAGCTCCATCTCGAAGCTATCCAGGGACTCATCAAGAGCTAGCTACCTCTTTTTCGCAAACTCAGGTGCGAATGAATGAAGTCTTCATGACTAGTAACAAAAGACTTTTTTCTTTTTGAACTTGTATCACTCAGAAAATTACAAGGGTTCCAAGAACTCTGTATCAAGGAACCAAGGACAAAGACCAAAGATATATGTTTCTTATATCTGCAGTTCCTTCTATCTCATTTAATTCTGAAACTTACCTTTGAACACTTTTTAACCATTGCAGACTGAAGATAAAGACTGACATCCCATTCCCTTTTTAGAACATTTAAGTTCAAAAGTTGCCTGCGTGTTAATTGGCGGAGGCTATCCAGTACAAACTTAAAATTAGTGCATTTTTGAAGGTCTCCCAGGCCTGCTTCAAACCTCAGCTTTTGAGATATTCTCTCTTCCAGTGGTTCCTGCTAGAGCTGGCTTGCTTTCACTCTCTTTCACGTCCACAAAGACGGTTTTACCTTCTTTTACAGAAGAGGCTCTACCTTCTAGAAATCCTGACTGCTTCCTTCTGTCACCAGTACTCTCTGCTTTCTAGATCAGTATAAAAGTTCTAGGACAGGAGATCTTATCGGAGAAGAAGGAATCCCCAAGCTCCTCAGTGGGTGACCTGGAGCCACATCTGGAAGAGGTGCCCTTGGAGGTGGGACTTCAGCGTTCTCCCTCAGGGCCTCGGGAGCTGCTGAGCCACAGCGTGAAAGAGGAGTCTGACACAGAACCAGAATTAGGTGAGGGGGAGTTGCTCACCAGTGTGCGGAGCTCTCCTGGGGAACTTTGGGGGTTGTGGTTTGTAGGCCTGAGCTAAAATGACATTTCTTGGAAAGTTTGGAATCAGAGTAGGCCTACATGAACTACTCTTGACTTGAAGATTCAAAGTGTGTCTTTTAACCCGCTTTATAATTGAGCCAGACCGTTTCGGTTTTACTTCTGAGGACTGAGGTGGGAGAAGTTGGGGTGTAACTTTTTGGAAGTTTGGAGGGGGCTGGGGTTTATGAGGAGGTAAGCAAGAGTGGGAAAATGTGCATTGCAGAGCAGATTGTTCTCATGTGTGCAGTTTTTATCGGAGTTGTCTGGGGTGTAGTTAAGGAAGACATCTAGATTCTAAGAGTTCTTCTCTCACTTCAGCTCTGGGATCCCAGGTTCCTGCCCAGCATGAGGAGAGGGGCGTCAGAGATCAGGACATGGGAGCCGCCCTTCTCTCAGTAGCTCCTCAGGTGAGCTGGGTTCCTCTGCTTCTCTTCACCCGAGCCAGGCCTTGAGAGTGTCTCGGGTCAGGTGGACCAATAGGGCCACAGTCTCAGAGGAGGGCAAAAGGGAGGGCTGACCTAGGTAGTAGGAATACTACATGTGGAGTGAATCCTGAGTTCAGTACTTCTCTCAACTCAGAATTTTTCCGAAATATCATCTTAAATAAAGGAATCTAGCCTCTGGAAAAAGGCACAAGGTACTATGAAAAGGCAAATCTGGCCTTTACTCCAACCTGGTTGTCTCCTATTATTTTTGGGTTCTGTTCAAAGATACCAAAAGCTATTTTACTTTCTCGTAGACGCTGCCTACGTAGGATGTGATAAGTGAGAGGGCCTTGCACAGTGTGCGATGTCTGGAAACCATTGTTTTGTATGTTTTGTCTCCCTTCTTAGTTGTTTCTGACAGAAAGACAACTCCAGTTCCTGTTATTCTATTTGGGCATTAGACCAAAGTTCTGGAACAGGTTATATGGATTATATAGTTAAAACTGAGGAAAATTATATTGGGTTAAGCATTCTTTAGGATATATATATCTATATATCTTAACTGAAACATTACTTAGAAACTTGAGGGAACTTCTTGGGACTTTCCTTGGCGGATGATATAGGGAAGTTGAAAACAGAAAAGGTAGGGGGTAGTGCTTTATGTCATGTTCAGACCAGGGTCTGAGCATCAGCTTTCTAGATTCAGAGATTCAGAGGAGAGAAGGCCAGTGTCACAGTTTACTTTGGGGGAAGGAAGGATGAAGAGGTGACGGGAAAGGTGCCCCTTTTTACTGAATCAAGGGTATCCTTTTTTCTGCCTTCAAGGTACCCAAAAACCAACCTGCTAAGGAAAAAGTAGGTTGGTAAAAATAACAGGGCGATTGAGGGTGCCGCTCAGTGACAGAGTGTGCCCTTAAACATGCATGAGACCCAGGTTCAACCTTTAGCACCAAAAAATAAAATTACAAAAAAAGAGGAAGAAGATTTGTGTATTCTATGAAATATTTTAGCTAATCCTGGAGGGTTAGTATTGCTTCTGTAGTATGTGCAGAATATTCCCTGGACAGGCGTGTGTTTATTAGTATGTTTTAATAACCAGTAGGGTACTCAAACATTAGCTGTTTCCTCGTTTGGATAACCGAAACGATCAAAATGCTCAGCAGCAACAGTTTGTGATTGACAACTATGTGTACATATGGATGCACGAATCTGCACTTAGCTGGTTATTGATTACCAACTACTCCAATAGGAGTCAGTCCTGCCCATTGCTAGTGCCCCTGTAACAACTATTATTTGCTGCAGAAAGACCTTGATATTTAATAGGATCCTTTGAAAATAAAGGGAATTTTTAAATAGAAGTAACCACTCTGTCTCATCTTTTCTGTGAAGTAGGAGCTTCATGAACAATATGAGAAAAGTGAATGGTATCATTATCACCACGTAGTAGAAGTTCATTGTCAGAAGCCGTGACTGATCTCTCACGTGAACTGGAAGGATGGATGCATTTACTACATTTTTGTGTTTTCATTTTTTTAAAAATTTATTTTAAAAATAAATGACGGAAAACATATTGACATACAGACATCCATTTATAAAATAGCATAAGAACAATAAAAGCAATACTGAATTACAGACAAAGTAGTGGGAAATTAACAATGGTTGTTGTATTACATGTTGATATCTTCAAAGTGGTTTCTCAGGAAAACAAATAGAGACATGCAAGATTGATCAAGTAATTAATCATTAACTGTTCCTTTCAGTAAAGTGATAGAAGTCAGTAGTATTGTGTTTTCAAATACAGAAGGAACCCAGTACAAATAACTCCTTGTGCAAGCCAGCTGTGGTAATAGCTCATAAGTCCACAAGATGGTGCTCTTTCCGCACAAAAGTATGTTTTCCACATCAAGCCTAGCTTTTTCCTTTTCTATGAATATGAAAAGGCAGCCAGATGGCTGTTGCATCCCAAGTAGGGGATTTTATTTGAGCTTCTCCAGCTTCTTGGCAGGTCTTTGAGTAAATATGTGGCTGTAAGGTGGAGGTACTCTGTCTAGAGATCCTGTAGCAACTTCTGGTTTTTTGGTGAACTGATATGGCTCATGGGGGTGTTGGTGCTTATACCCTCTTTTGTCTTGTCCTGTTCTTGGCAGTGACTGTGCTGGTGCTCATGGAGTGGCCCTGTGTTCAGCGAGCCAGGCATCCAGTCAGATTGTGCTGTGTCTGGCATTCACATCCTGCTCTCTGCTCCCAACGCGAGAATCTGTGTGATCTTAGTGTGGAGACTGAGGGTGCCTTTACACAGCAATATTTGCTCATGCCAGTCATTTGCAGGGCTGTTAACAGAGCCTCATTCACAGACCACTAACGAAATAAGCTGTTAGCAATTCGTATTTTAAAGACTTAAATGTTAAATTGAAATTCATCTTAAAATGTAGTTCTAGTTAATAGTTGATAAATACTTAAGTACCTCTTGTGTTTTTTTTTTATTTTTTATTTTTTTTTTGGTTTTTCTCCGGTACCGGGAACTGAACTCACGACCTTGCGCTTGCCAGGCAGGCGCTTTTGCCGCTGAGCTAAATCCCCAGCCCCCCTCTTGTGTTTTTGACTTAGCATCTGCTAATGCAAGACTTTTTTATTGTATGAAAAAATAAAATTTTAATGCGTAATAATAGCTAATGCACCATGTATGGTAATCTTAAGAAGTAGTTACTTGAACTGCAAGACATAGACAAAAAAAGAAGAGACAAGCAGGTAATAGCACATAACTTTATTTTCAGTGAACTAAGAAATAGGTAATTTGGGAAATTATTTCAACTTCCCCCTACTTCCACTTTATCTAGCTTCTATTTTGGTCTTTATTTGCATACATATACATGGTTTCTAATGCAGGAGAACCCTTGTGGTATTTAAGCGTGTGTGTCTGATGTATTTCACTCAACGTTATTTTCTAGTTGTATCCATTCACCTACAAATGCCTTAAGCTTATCTTTATAGCACAGTAGTATTCCATTGTGCATAACATCACATTTGCCCAACCCATGCATCTGGTGATAGACATACATGTTGTTTATAAGATCTAGCTATTATAAATTGTGCCCCTATCATGGATATATATGTATCCTAGGAAATATAATGATCTTAACTTTTAGGAAAATATAAAGAAGTGGGGGATAGCTGGGTCAATGAGAATTCTCTTTTATGTTTTTTTGAGGACTGTCTACACTGCATAGTGGTTGTACTAGTTTACATTCCCACCAACAATGTAGAAGAGTTCCTTTGTCCCCACATCTTTGCCAGCCTTTATTGTTAGATTCTTTAATGGTAGATATTTCTTTTGGGGCAAGATAGTATCTCAGGTGTAGTTTTAATTTCTATTTCTGGGATGGCTAGAGATGATAGTTCTTCATGTCGTACTGGCCATTTGTACTTACTCTGAGAAGTGTCTACTCATTTTGGTCGTCCATTTTTGGATTGGGTCTTTATTTTGGCAAATCTTTTTGAGTTCTGGAATATATTCTAGATGTTAGTCCTCTTGTCTAATTAGTAGTTAGCAAAATTTTTTTCCCCATTCTGTAGATTATCTTTTCACTTTGCTGGTTGTTTCCTTTGCTGTGCAGAAGCTTTTTAATTTTATATGATCCTATTTGTTGATTTGAAAGTGGCAAAGCTGGTACTCAAAACCCAGTATGTTTGACTCCAAAAACTGAGCTTCTGCTAGTCACTGTATCTTGGCGGAGAGACTGAAATATGGATGTATGAGAATGGCTCCTAGCTGGGCAGTATTTCCAGTTTTGAATCTCTAGTCTGACATTCCCTAGGAAAAGAGGGCTCTTTTGTGGATAATGGAGGGATAGCTTGCTCTGGGAAACCTATCTATTTGTCCTGAACTAGTAATAAAACTGATTTAATGTTAGGCCCTGTGTGCAGAACTTTTGATTCCAGCCATGTATGGATGCAGCTCCTACCTTCTTTCCTGAGTCTGCCCATTTTTGATTCAGGGTGAGGCTTTCAGTGCAGCTGACATCATTGTTGATTTCTCCTTTTTTAGTGATTTCTGCTTCCTTTTCCAAAAGATTCCTTTTAAATTTTCTTTTCCCTCTTGAAGTTGCAGATTTTAAACACTTATTTTTGACTTTTATTGATACATGTCTGCAGTACACAATGATTACATTCACTTTAGGGAATTGGTCCAGATTTTAATTAAATAGTGGGAAATCAGGCTCCTTTTGACCTGTACTCCAAGCACTTAAAAGAGTTAGAAAAGGAATGGCATGGAGAAGGCTTCTGCCTTTTGCATGTTTTACTCTTAAAGAGATGCAATTTCAAGACAGAACTTAAACCCTAAATGTTTTCTGCTCAAAGCAAGAAATACTGATGTAAAAGACTTCCATTTTCTCTTTGGTCTCTTTGCTCCTTGTGCTACTCTCTCATGAGTTCTTAGATCTTCTGGTGCCAGGATCGTACAGCACATTCCATTCTTTTTAGCTTTCCTGTGAGCAGGGAAGGCAGGCTTCAGTGCCTCCCTTGGAGTGACAGTATTATGTTCTTTGTAGGAGCAGTGGCGACACCTGGATTCCACTCAGAAGGAGCAATACTGGGATCTTATGCTGGAGACCTATGGGAAAATGGTCTCAGGAGGTAAGGGCATGGGCCACTTTGATAGAAGGATGTGGAAAGAGTAGAATGCTGTTAAGCATTGCCTATGCACTTGAAGAGAAATATGCTCAACTTCAAGTTCTGTGGGTGAAGGAAATTACAGAGACAGGGTTAGGAACCAGGGTGAGTTAGACCAGTTACAATAAAATCTTGTGCTATTGAAAGTATTTTGTGTGCCATGAATGGATGATACACAGTATTTTGCTTTTAAAGATCAAGAAAGTGAATGTCAGATCTACTACTTGTTCACTGTTACATAGCTTGTAGGTGCTAAGTTAAGATAGAGCTTGTGACTGGCTCTGAGTCCATGATCTTTCCTCCTAAATCACTGCCTGCTTCCTCAAGGTACCCACTGGAGGCTTCTCTGTTGGGATCCTTGCACCAGCCTGCCAGGGGTCTACAGCCCTTCTGGCCACCTGTCCAGACTCTTGTTTCGTGGTCTTTACCATAATCCTAGTCATTTGGGGTGTACTCTGGACTGTTACCAGAAAGAGTCTCTAAGTATGCTCCAGGGCCTTCATATTTCCCTTCATGCTTGATGTGTTCCTTTGAAAGATAGAACTAGAGCTCCCTGCCTTCCCTATTTATCCAGGTCCACATATATATCTGTTTCTTTGTAGCAGGAATTTCCAACTCTAAACCCGGCCTGACTAATTCAGCACAATATGGGGAAGAGCTGGCAGGCCTACACCTTCACGTCAGTGAGAAGATCCCAAGAGTCAGTTGTGTAGGTGAGTGGTTTTTCACTGGTCTGGAGCCATATCTGACCTGTTACATTAGAGATGGGAGAGGAGGTATTAGGAGGTGGTTTTTATTACACTGGCTGTAGTGAGCCATAATCAGGTGGTCTGGTTTGAGTTAGGTTTCCTTATCTCTGGCTATAGGGCTGTTGAAACATATATTTAACAATGAAGGCAAGAGAGAATTTTTGTCTCAGAGAGAATTAAGATTCATACAGATTGATGCCAATATAGGTAAATGTAGTATTCCGTCACACACAAGATTATGTAACAAACATTATTACTTTTTCTAGCAAGAAGGTTCAGAGTGGTTAAACTTTTCTTCTAGTTACAGTGAGCATCCACCCTCAGCAAATTGCAGTAAACAGAAGAACATGTTTTATTTAATCTCTGTCCAGCTGACATTCATTAAATAGCAGCATCAGCAGGTACTTTATATAAATTATATATAAGACTAGGGAAGAAGAGATTTGAACTTATAAAATTGCAGTCACTTTTTGCTTTCTGTAATCTTTCTAAAACATGACAGTTCTGTAAAACTTAACTGTCATGTATACATACACACACAGTCACACACACACACACACACACACCTACGCACTTAATCTTTTACATATGCAATGAATCCCAGAGCCTTAGAGCAAGAAAAGGACTAATGATGGGAATCGTGTGACAAGTCATTCTTTCTTCCCAGTGGATTCTAATTAATTATTTTCCTTTGCTGATAACCCACACCTAGATCTCTTGTGATTTTAATTTGTTTTTCTTTATGCTGGGTATTTAACCCAGGCCTTGTGTATGTTAAACACGCACTCTTGCTCTGAGCTATACTCCAGCCATGATTCTAATGTTAAGTACTGTTTTTACTATTACAGTATTTCACAAGGATTCTTTTGGAGAAGTATTTTTCAAACTGTACTTTATGACCAATTAATAAGATAGTTTTTGGATATACTTTATTTTTTAGTACACTTTTAGGTTCATAATAAGCTTGAGTAGGAGGTACAGAGATGGTATTTGTGATACACAGTTCATTGTGTCCCACACATTCTGGTTTGTTTGCTTTTCCCTTCATCTTACCTGCTGATGTGACCCTATCAGAGCCTACCTTGAACTAGACCATGGGGAGTCTATAGGCCAGCCTGCCTTAATAGCAGAAGAGATACATGTTAGCTCCCTGTGAGAAAGGATATGTGGAAAGAAGCTTGGGAAGAGTAATTTGGTATCAGTCTGTGGGACAGATAGGCAGGGAACACTTGGAGGTCAGAACCCTGTGAGGAACTGGTGCAGGAGTCCAGGTGTGCAGGGGAGAGACCCTGGACTGGGGAGAGTCACAGGAATAAGACAGGAAAGGACTGATTGGAAAAGCACAACAGTTAGCAGTCTGATAAATCTGTATTCACACCAGGGACGAAAGTCACAGGAGAGTAGATAGGCCATTTTGTTTGAATATGTAGAAGACCAGCACATGGTTAAAGCCCATCAGGGATCAACGTCAGAGAGCCATCTACTCACCCTTGTTAACAAAATCTTGAGGGATTAAAAAAAATCATTTGGCAAAAAAATACATAATCCTTAAATACCTACTTAGAAGAATTCAATAGACAAAAATAGTAAAAAAAAGTCAGAGAAGACTGTTTCATGCATGTTAGGTCTTTAAATATTAAGGATCTGTTGTATATGTAAGGTAGAACAATTAAAATAGCGTACTGATACAAAAATGGATGTACACATCACTGGAGCAGAAAACAGAGACTAGGAAGAGTTACTGGGTGATGTAAGATTTAACATGTGAGGAAGGAAGAAGCAATACAAATCCATGGGGATGAGCTGAATGTGGTGGCACACATGTATAATCCCAGTATTCTGGGAAGCTGAGGCAGGAGGATTACAAGTTCTAATCTTGCCTGAGGAATTTAGTGACTTAGCGAGACTGTCTCAAAATAAAAAACAAATGAAGGCTGGAGATGTAGTTTGGTGTGATGGTCCTAGATTCAGTCCCCAGCAACCCACCCTCCCAACCATACAGTACACACACACAGACACACATACGCATACACACACAAAATCCCCAACAACTTCTATGCATAAAAGTAATCCCAGACAAGATAAGGATAACCAAATTGGTGAAAACATTTTTCATGAACATGACAGATATATGATGTTCTACATCATTTTTCTTAATATAGAAAAAGTTAAAGCAATTTGATAAGAAAACATGACATTCTGAGTGAAAAATGAACAGTCTTGGAGTATGAAAAAGTAGCTCATAAAGTAGAAGAGAAAAAAATTCATCCTTTCATAACTAAAGAATTAAAATTTAAACTAAAACGTATTTTTCACCAATCTAAGTGGCAGGTAGGCGGGTGTGGAGGTGCATGCCTGTAATCCCAGCACTTGGGAGCCTGAGGCAGGAGGATTGGTGCGAGTTCAAGACCAGCCTGGGCTACAAAGTGAGCTGAAGGCCAGCCTGAACTGCATAAGGAGACCCTGTCTCAAAAAAGACAAAAAAAAGAAAAAATAAGTGGCATATAATAAAATTTGATACTTAAGTATTTACCCACCTCTCCCTCTGCCCTGCTTCGTATACCAGAGTATATGGCAGAAAGATTCTGGAAATTGGGTTATTAGGAGGTATCAGAGCCTTAATATTCATTCACATTGACAAAATCTGCTCTGAGGAGCTCTGTTAAGCTGTAGATCAGAAATGTAGGCAAAAACTTACGAAGGAAAAGGATGATGACAATGTTACTTACAGTAGCAAAACCACAATAAACAACAGATTTCCACAGTAGAAGAATTCTTAAGTACATTCTGACACCTTCATGATGGGACATTACTCAGCTCTTTAAGAAGCTATTTATAACGCTTCTTTAAAGATAAGATACATTATCCTTGCCATTTAGGTGGAAGGATAACATTTTGGAATTAACATTTTAACATTTTGGAATTAACAAGTTCACTTCTGATTCTTTGGCAGATGCTTATATCTCTGGTAGATAATTGGAAAGACATGAATCTGTGAAAGAGAAAAGTAAATAGCCTGTTTAAATCGGTGGGGATAATTTGTAAAAGTTGAAAATAAGCCCTGCACCAATGTAAAAACTTTATCATAAATTAGTAATATTAAAAAGACCAAATTATGAGAATAACTATAACTGGTCAGTGAGTTAATAAGGGACATGTAGCTGGATACACTGGGACCACATCTGTAGTCCTCAGTACTTGGGAGGCTAAGGCAGGAGTTACTTGAGCCTAGGTGTTTGAGGCCAGCCTGGGCAAAATAAGAAGACACTGTCCCATAAATAAATAAATAATCAATCAATCAATTGCTTGATCACATATAAATTCTGGATTCAAGTATAGACCCAGGGATTTAGTTTTGGAGTACAACTCCACTGCACTGCACCCATAGTAAAATGACATATTAATGAATTTCACAAAATTTTGTTATTTGTGAATGGGAGAATCCATGTTTTTTTTTTTTTTTGGTTTTTCTCCGGTACCGGGAACCGAACTCACGACCTTGCGCTTGCCAGGCAGGCGCTTTTGCCGCTGAGCTAAATCCCCAGCCCGAGAATCCATGTTAAATTGACCAGCACCACTATCTATAATTTAAATGTTACACAGATGGATTTAGAGCTGAGAAGTCACTAAAGCCTTTCCCACAATAATCACATTTACAGGGCTTCTCTCCTGTAGGAATTCTCTGATGTTTCACAAAGTCTAGATAGATTAAATAAAAAGTAGAAGGAAGTGTACATTCATAGTTACTGTCTTAATTACTTTTCTCGCAGTGCTGTGACAAAATACCAGACACCCAGAATGAAAGAAAGAAAGGTTGATTTAGGTCACAGTTTGTGGAGGTTTCAGTCCCTAATCAGCTGGCTCCAAGGCAGGGTGGCATGGCACAGGGACAGTAGTTCAGGGCAGCAGAAGACAGCGGAAACAAGAACCAAAGGCAGGGAGAACGAGCCTCTTTTCCTCCCTTATATTGTATGCAAGCTACCCGCCCTCAGGTGGGTGTAGCACTCATACCATCTTCTGCCCTCCTCTTGCACAGGCTCAGGATGTTTACAAAGTGAGGACCCTGACCCCCTGCTGAGTCACTTAGTTAAACTTCTAAACTTCTCAGGTTGACACATGAACAATATCCCAGAGTGGTAAGGGCGTGTCCTCTACACCCTAGGATGTAGAACTGTTGAGTTATTTGGTTAAGCTTCTAGACTTCTCAAGTTGACACAGTATATCAGCCATAACAGTTACCTTAGAACACTTGAGGTTGATTTTGTTTTCTGTGTATATTTTTTCTCCCTCTAAATGTTTTTAATGATTGTATTTACCTTTTATATAATCAGATAAAAACTAACCATTTAAAAAAATACTATTTGAATATAATATACTTAATTTCCTTTGGCCCTTAAATGCATGCTGCTTATTTATGAAAGGGTCAGAAAAACCCCCCTTTGCCTCATGTGCTGTTCAGAAATTCTCAGCTTCTACTATTTAGCCTTGAACCCAGCATAGGTGAAGTGAGTCTAGATTTTTCAGGATGTTATTCCTCATTTGCTAATGCCCTCATGGTAAAAATATTTTCTGATGACCCCTTGTTTGACATATGAGTAGAAAATAGGACATGATATTCATTGAACCATTTTAAACCTTCTTTCTCTTTTTAGGAGATAGACAAGAAAATGACAAAGAAAACCTAAACTTGGAAAATCACAGGGACCAGGAACCTCTGGATGCTTCCTGTCAGGTCTCAGGTGAGGCTCCTCCTCAGGCATCCTTGAGGGGCTTCTTCAGTGAAGATGAGCCAGGACACTTTGGAGAAGGAGTGAATCTCCCTGAGACTCTGGAAAACCTTCACAGTGAAGGGGCAGCAGAAAGACTGTCTCCCCCTGAAAGGAGTTCTGGGAAACAGCTGGCACAGTACATGCCTAATCCCCCTCCTGAAGAACTGTCTGCTATGTGGCTTGAAGAGAAGAGAGAGGCTTCTCAGAAGGGACAGCCGAGAGCCCCTATGGCCCAGAAATTCCCCACCTGTAGGGAGTGTGGGAAAACCTTCTATAGGATTTCACAGCTTGTCTTTCACCAGAGAACTCATACTGGAGAGACATACTTTCAGTGTCCCATCTGCAAAAAAGCCTTTCTGAGGAGTTCAGACTTTGTAAAACATCAGAGAACTCATACAGGAGAGAAGCCCTGTAAATGTGATTACTGTGGGAAAGGCTTTAGTGACTTCTCAGGATTGCGCCACCATGAGAAAATCCACACAGGAGAGAAACCCTACAAATGTCCCATCTGTGAGAAAAGTTTTATTCAGAGGTCAAACTTTAATCGACATCAGAGAGTTCACACGGGAGAGAAACCTTATAAATGTTCTCACTGTGGCAAAAGTTTCAGCTGGAGCTCGAGCCTTGACAAACATCAGAGATCCCACTTAGGAAAGAAGCCCTTTCAGTAGCCACTGTCTCTTAGCTCTTTTCTGTCTCCCTGTTCATTTAAAAATGCCCAGCTCTACTTGGATGATTCATTCCTAAGAGGAAATTCTGTCTCTGTGTTTTTTGTGGCATGGAGGGGAGAGCACCTAGACATGGTTTTGAACTTGGAAGCTATATCAGCCTCTGGATTTGATGATGGTGTAGCTTTGTGCTTCTGTATCAGAAGAAAGAATAGTCTCTGTGTTTCAGCCCATCTCGTTTTTTGAAGTCTCTGGGGAAAAAAAGTCACCAAGAGACTGGTTTTGGACATGCCCTCTGGGTAGAGTTGGACTGGAGTGCCTGTAGTTAGTGCTCAAGGGAGGAGCCTTAGACTGGTCCTTTATGCTTGGGTTCCAGATAGGTCTGCTGTTATACAAGGGGAGGCAGAGATGCCTTGTGAGCCCATGTGTGTTCCTTGTTATATGAGTGAAACATTAACTTCAAGCGTCCCATGTCTGAAATAAACTTAGTCCAGTCACTCCTTGTCTATTTGTGTTTGCTCCAAGGCCATTTTTTTCATAAAAGACACTAAATGGTAGTTGACTGCCAGAATTTGCCCATGGAAACCTATTGAGTGTAATGTAGCAGAACAGCAGTAGGAAGGAGCTAACCTGTGCTCACGTTGTGGGAGTGGTCATTGGCAGGCAGACTTTATCTCAGGTGGGTTTGTCTTTGCTGTCCCTTTCCTGAGCCTGCCTGCCCTGTGCCTCAAAGTTTCCTTCCTTCTCTTGGCATCTTAGTTGGGCTATCATTTTTACCGCAGTATTCTGTGGTTTTACATCTTTATTATCTCATATTGCCTGTAGGTGTTAGAAGAAATCTATAGTATTGATTTAGTTTTTAATACTGCCTAGAGGTTTATTAACACATATATCTAACCTGTCCACTTGTTCTTGTCTTCAGAAGTTACATGCCTTAAAGTACCTTGTTCTTTCTTGTGTAGTAAGAGTTCTGTCTTTAGCCATTTGGTCCTTTTGCATGGTCCTAATACATTTTTCTGGGAAGAGTCATGCAGTATGATACCAATGAGAAGGGCAGAACTATTTCTCCGAAAACAGACTAAACAACAGGCAGGAGGGTACAAGATGTTGGCAGACAAAGAAAAAGTGGTGGGAGAGGAGGGCCAAAAGTCAAGTTGGAGTTCTCTGAATCAAGGAGGAATTTGTTAATTTTCTTACAGCATAAAGAGGAGTAAAGCCCTGCTTAAGGAGATTCAGGACCTGCAAGGAAGAAAACAGGAAAATCATGGAAGAATTGGTATTATATTCAGTGTCCAGCATCAGAGAGACTTGTAGGATGATGGCATTTGATGTTTTAAATTGAGTTCTCTGGGCGTGGCCTGCAGAGCATCAGCAGTGGCATTTTGTTAAACTTACTGAATCACGAGTTCAGCTGGGTGGGACTCAGTGATTTTTTTGTGTTAACAAGCCTTCCAGGGGCCCCTAATACCTGTTCTAGTTTAAAAGCCCCTGTTCTAAGTAACAATAATAGTAATAATAATAATAATAATAATAATAATAAAAATCTCTGCAAGGATATAAGGGAATAATCTAGAAAGAGTGCTGGGCCTTCCCAGACTTTCCTTCCCATGTCACCATACAGAATTCTCTACAACTTAGCATAGCTATGGGGCCTTTTGGGTTTCTAGTGGACATTTATTCTGCGGAGTAAAATATGGAAACTTGGGTTAAAAAGTGTTAGAGGAAGAATTTCTCCTTAGTTGCCTCTTAAATGATCTCAGAAATGACAGACACAAGCTACTTGCTTACAGCTGTGTCCTCAGCAAATAGTAGGAGTTAAATAAAAATGCATTGACTAGGTGTGTGAATTAATGGAAGTATCACATGTGAACTTCCCTTAGCCTCTATAGTAGGGATCAGCAAAATATGACCCATTATGTGTTTTAGTAAATAAAGTTTATTGGAATACAGCCATACTTATTTATATAGTATCTAGGCTGCTTTTGGCAGCTTTGGCTGAACAGATGAGTTAAAAGAGATAATTTGGCCTGCAAAGCCTCAAATATTTATTCTGGTGCTTTACAGAAAAATTTGAGGACCCCCTAATGTAGGGTAGTGCTTCCCAAATTGTAACGTGCATGTAGTGCACCTGTGAATCACCGGGAAAGCTGGTAAAGGTGGAGATTCTGATTCATGGGCAACAGCAATGTCACTTGGGGTACCTGGAGCTAGACCCCTGGGGATAAGTGAGGTGTAAGAAACCAGGGCTCCAGCATTGTGGCTTGTTTCTGTTAGCCTTTTCAAGATCACTTGTGACTCAGCAAGTCTCAAAAGGTGGCCTGGACACAGTTGAATAATCAATCACTTTATTAGGAAAGGTTAGTACTACAAAATTCTCCAGGAGCTCCTGGGCCCATGCTGCAGCTCAGTCAGTTTCCTAGCAGAGTTCTGTGGATGTGGAGTGTTCATGATTTCTTATCTTCTGAATGTCTGTGGTCCCGCCTCACCTCTCTGTCTGCAGGGAATCTCTAGCTCAGCCTCCTACCATGTTTTCTCAGTGGCTGTTCAGGAAGCTAAATCTGGAGAAGCAAGGCTACTCCCGCTAGAACCCACTTGGATGGATTTTCCTTAGTCTTCAGGTTGAAAGTCCACACATAGGTGGGTCCCCGCTGACAAGTCTTATACACAGGGCAAGAATACACATTGCGGTGATCCTGCTTATTCGCAGGAATGGCCTTGATGAACATCACAGGCATGGGAGGTGTCAGATCCTTCAGCTTTGCTTCCGTAATGATCCCCTCCTGAGGACAAGAACATGAGAAGGGCCATGATAGATCTCACCAGAACCTACCCCACCAGCCTTGCTCCCATTAAGATCCAAAGGATGAGAGACTGGGATATCCTGGCTGCCTTTGTGACTGCCTCCCTTGCAGTTCCAATGACCCACAGTGGAAGCTGTCTCATACTTGGGAGGCATTTGTTTTTCTTTTTGGCCTAAGTCACTTCTTGATGTATAGTTCCAAAAGTTTGTATTTATCAGGTGCCCCTTTGGAACTTGATTTTCCCCTTGTTTTATTTTTATCATTTTTTTTTGCAGAGTTTGCAACTTGGTGCAAAATTCTGCTGAATGCTTCTGTTTATGAACAGTTCACAGACACAGTGGTGTCTGTGAATCAAGGTACCGCTATATGTTGAATTTCCTTAGAATAATGAATGAAAACTACTTGGCAGATGTTGGGGTGGATACTGGGGATTTAGAGGGATGAAGACAGTTCTGATGGCAGAACTGGTTATATCCTATTTCTGCCTCTTTCCAGTTTCATATGCAGTCTTACCCACCTCTACAGCATTTTAACTTTTTTTTGTTGTTGTACTGAGGGAGGAGTGCTCTACCACTGAGCTATATCCTCCTTCCCTTTTGTTTGTTATTTTGAGACAAGGTTTCACTGAATTTCCCAGGTGGACCTCAAACTTACCATCCTATTGCATCAGCCCTTCTCAGTGCTGGGATACAGGCATCACTGCCATCCCTGGCTTACAGTCTGTCTTAATCATGTAATAAAGACCTGACCATGTTGTAGCTTTCCAAGTTAGGCCTCCGTTTGGTTTTTTGAGATGTCTCAATAGAGTTGTCTAGGGCCACTGTGTAGTTGACCAGAGTTTCCTACTGATTCTGAGAAATGTTCTGAGGAGTAAGGAAGTCCCTCAGTCCAATAAATTTGGAAAATGGTGCTTTCCATACTCTGGACTTGAAACTTTAGTGTACATGCTAGCACACTGAAGATGTAGCAGTAAAATCTGAGCAGTAAAAAACACAGCTAAACTATATTTAATCTGGTATCTCCCAAACTTAGTTGACCACAGGACATTTTTCTTTGTAACCTGGTCATTTCACATGGTGCTAGTGTTACATGTAACATAGTTTAGGAGACACTGGTTGAGAAATGTAAATGTCTTCTGTTCATGTGACTGCAAGCCCCTTCTGAACAGTTTGGTTTATTTTTATGAGATTTATTTAGAGGGAAGAATATTCCCTTTTGGTTTGTTTAGAGACTGATATAAGGGATAGTGAGTAACAGAACTGAATCAGTGGTGACTCTCTTGTTCCCCAGGAGTGTTTACAGTGAGGAGAAGGAGCAGGGACATAACTTTTCACACACCATAAAGTCAGCCATTTTAAAGTGTAATTCAGTGGCTTTGAGTATGTCCATGAAGTTGTGCAACCAGTGCCACTGTCTAATTCCAGATCATTTTCATCACCCCCAAAAGAAACTATAGCCATTGGCCTTCACTATTAGCATAGGGTATTGATACTTCCTGTTGTGGTTGAATTATATAGTGGTACCTTCATTCATGAACTTAATTTTTTCCACAATTCTGGTCGTGAACCCAATTGGTCATGAACTAAATCAAATTTTTCCATAAAGTTCAGTGCCACCAATGTGGAGTTTGCAAACTGAAGCAAAATTTTGCTGAACACTTCTGTTCACAAACAGTTCACAAAGTGTTTGTGAATCAAGGTACCACTATGTATTCCTTCAATTCTGTTTTTGTTTCATGAATTTTTTGAGTCTTTTATTAATTTCATGTATTTATATAAACATCATTTTTTAAATAAACGTTATCTTAATGGCTTGACCTTTTTTATCATCATAAAATGTCCTCCTTTGTCTCTATAGTATGTCTCCTACCTTTTCTCCAAAAACAATGTTTGCTTTATAAAGTTTATTGTATCTGAATAGTATAGCCCCTGAGCTCTCTTTTGGGTACTTCTTGCTTGATACATCTTTTCCCCTTTGTTTACTTTTAGTTTATTGTGTCTTTGCATCTAAAACACATTTCTTATAGACAGCATACAGTTGGATCATGGTGTTTTTTCTTTTCACTTTATTGTATTTTACTGTTTTTTTTTGAGACAGGGCCTCAATATATAGCGCAGGCCAGCCTCCAACTCACAGTGATCCTCCTGCCTCAGCCTCCCAAGTGCTGAGATTACAGGAGTGCACCACCACACCTGGCTGTTTGTTTTTAAAATTCTGTGAACTTCTGCTTTTTAATTGTAGTATTTAGTCCATTTATATTCAATAGGATTTATTCCTGCTACCTTGGTACTGTTTTGTTCCTTAACTCTTCCATTAATATTTTGTTGTAATACATGGCATACCATTTTTAATTCCCTTCTTTATTATTTTAAACAACTATTTCTAAATGGTTACCTAGAGATTACAGTTAACATTTTAATATACAACAGTCTATCTCAGATTGATTCCAACTTAATTTCAATATTATACAAAATCTTAACTCCTGTGTAGCTCCGCTCCCACCCTTCTTTGTGCTCTTTGCATCATTCGGATTGCCTCTTTTTTCACCTTATGTCTATCAACACAGATTTATAATTACTGCCTTGTACAGGTGTCCTCTAAATCTGATAGGAGAACAATCCATGTTAGGCAAAAGTGCACTTATACTGTCATTCATATTTACATGTGTAGCACCTTTACTGATAACTTTCTTTGTAT